GGGCCAATTCACAAGTCATACCATGTCAAGGCGCTTTACAGAGACCATTTAATCAGATGTTATCATTGTTATTTAAGAAAAGGATGTCACAACACTGTAGATTTGGACAGTTTCACAGAAACCAGTTTTCTGTGCAAATGTAAGTAAATATTTATTGGGTGCTTTGACAATTAGTATATAGTCTTTTGGTTATGTAGAAGGATCTTGCTACTGTTAAAAGGTTAGGCAGTATTCATTACTTTTAATGTGAAAAAATCCCGACCTGCTGTTTCTAGCATATTCCAACAATGTCTTCATCTCCACTGCAAGGCCGCCTCTTTAAACAGCTCTAATGTTGTGCAATATCTATTTAGTGCAGAACTGTTTTTTCTTTTTTGCCATCTTCCTCTATTGCTTCTCTGTATCCTTAATGATATCTGTACCAAAATCTTGTATTATTTTACTATACATTTATCTCGTTATTTGACTACAATTACTTATAATCAAATCAAACATATTTCAACATTTAAATGTGGATTTTGGTTTAATTATACTTAATTTTAAAATATACTCTATAAACAAAGATTGAATAGTCAACACAATTGCTATTACATGGTAATAACAGAAGGTCAATTGCTTTCCTAAAGTTTAACACACCAGAACCACTTGTAAATCTGTTATAGTTTCAACCAAGCTGTCTCAGAAGGTATGTTTGCTGAAGGCCTTAAATTCACTTGGTTTTATGGATTGTCATTTTCAGAACCTCACATATATTCTAAGCTGTTGTGAATTTTCATTAGTCTCTATAAACATTTCAACAGTTTCTAAATGGGAATCAAAACATTTTCCAGATGTGAACAATGAAGTGAAAATACTGTTTCTAATAAAAGCAATTTCCCACCTCGGCAACTTAATCAATTCCTGCTTGACAAAGAAGAACTGTTATTTAAGAAAATTGTTATTGCTTGTTTTGCTCAGCAGCTAATGAGTCCACTCTGTTCTTTTACTTGTTTGCCTCTTTAAACAAAGAGAGAGAGACAGAAGTAGAGAGAGTAGCTATACTTAAAGGGATTTATTACCTGCGATATTTTAACTAGTTCTTTGTCTGTGAGTAATGAAGCATATTGTGAAATATTGTCACCTTTTATGTTTCTTCAGACCTGTGTTTCAGGCTATCATGTTTGATAGTTGGTAACCTGATGCACCACACAAAATAAAATACTGTTTAAATTAAAGTTTTTTTTTTTTCTAGATGCATCCATAATCCCCTGAATATAGGAGATATGATGTTGCTGCTCAAAGAAACTACATGATTTGCTAGCTTTGGAAACAAATTCCAACTACAAATCAGTTAAAGCATGTAAAGGAACTAGTTTAAGAAATTTTACAATAAGCTCTGAAAATATAGTAATTATTGTGGTATATAAAGAAGCTGTGATTCAAGAGATGTGTTCAATACTGTACATAAGCTTTTTCCTGTGATAAATATAAAGTACATTAATAGAAATGACAATATATTTTACTTTTGTTTACCTTCAACAGTCAAAGGCAGCTCTAAACAAATGGGTTTTTAACCCTTTTACAGTCTTCTGGGAGTTTGTTCCAGATCAGTGGAGCCTAGGAACTAAATGCTGCTTCTCCATGTTTGGTTCTAGTTCTGGGTGTAAAGAGTAGGCTTGAACTTAGAAGACCTGAGTGATCTGAGAGGTTGATACACTGACAGCAAATCTGTTATGTGTTGAGGTGCTGATCCATTCTGTGATTTTTTAGCATGTTGGACCATGGGTGGTGACAGTGGGTAAACAGACTAGGCTCAAAACACAGCACTCAGAAATATGTCTACCCTGGTAAGGTTAGGTGTGATTATTATTATTATTTTTTGGTAATTTTTCCAATTGTGTCTTCTGGGGCTGCACTGTGGTGAAGAACCACTGCCTTAAAATTAAAATCTTATGGCTTTTAAACTCTGCCAGTAATCTTTCTGTTTGCATGTTCCCATGTGAATGAGCGGGATCTTTCTGTGTACTGACATAACTGTTCTTTCAAGAAATTACATTTTGATATGTATGCATGTGCTCTTTTTTTAGCTTGTGTTTCTTTGTTTGCAAGGCGTATGAGGTACTATAAATAATACTGCATATCTGCAGGTATACCAAAGTTATTTCTGATTGTAACCCATATTGAAGCAGGTGCTGTGCAAATATCTCTGTTGAGCACTCTTCATTAATGTATGGACAATCAGACAGATTGATTCAGACCACCAGCAGATGAGCTGACGACATCTGGCAAGCCGATTAAATCTAATGAGGGCAGATGTATCAGTCTAAGTTCAAGAACAGGACAACATTTGCTTCTTCACCCTGACATATTAAACATTATACAGCCATCAGAGTTGTTAAAGCTAACTAATTAGCAGATTATATTTCACTCTATAGAAAATGAAAATTAATCCCGACCATAGACGCTTTTAAAGTGTAATTTAACCTTTCACATGGATTAAACAAATGAGATGTTTCATGTTTAAAAGTTGACCAGGGTAATTTTTTTTATATTCTAATAAATCTATGACAGATTGCCTTGTTTGTTATGTTTTTTGTGTATTTGCACAAATCTATTCACAGCGAGTGAAGGAGCATCAGACATGAAAGACATCCCATGACATTGAACCAACCCTTTGCATTATATGTTACATGTATTATAACTACCTCAATGTAAATGTCCTAAAGCACATTTTGTCCCTAGTTTCAGGTATTTCTGTAGGAATTAATTTGTTGTTCTGGGCATAATAATAATAAAAAAAAAACTGTGTCTATATTGATTGTTTATATGTTTACTATCTACAGTAGAATGAATATTTATACTTTTTTCATTTTAGTTGTTTATTCATATATATATATATATATATATATATATATATATATATATATATATATATATATATATATATATATATATATATAGCATTTAGTGGATTCAATTATTGTAAATATGTTATGTATACTATAACAGAGTAAGCAGTAGTATCTCCTGATGTATGTAGTCAGGACTTAAAAACACTTATAGAATAATTATTTTTTTAAAGGACAGGAGCATTAAGATCACTCCTTTCTTTTGGCTTAGTTTATTCAATTAAACAAGAGGCAGGGTTCATCCTTATCTCTGTCTATCCACCACAGGCAGAAGTCCCTGCCTGTTAGTGGAGAAATGACGTGCTTATTATTAATGTATAATCGGTTTGGTTTTTACCCTATGTGCTGCAAAACCGTCTGCATTTTAAATAAGTAAATCCTAAATCAATGGCTTGGGAGTATTACTAGAGTTAAATTAGCTTGTATCTTCTGCAATAGTGAACAATGAAAAATTATAGCTTCATAAAGCTGAGGGGGAAATTCACTGGGAGACAGATAACTGCTGTTTTCTGGAATAATACAAATGTTTAAATCATCCCTTTAATGTCAGAAAGTCACAGATGCAACACTGTGAAAATGTAAACTTTGACATGAATGACCTTCTGTAATGTATCCCTTATTACAGTGTAAGACAGCACAAATAAAGGTGCCATGGCACAATGCTGGTAGTGCATCAACTCATCCATGCATAGAAGATGTCAAACTTCCAGCAGGAAACAATTAAAGAATTGAAAACAGAACCTGCAGTTACCATAGAACGATAACTTTGACTACTGCTCACGAATACGTAACAGCAACTGTGGTTTCTTGGAAGAAGCTTGAATGTATTTGGAATTCAGTATTTATAGGAAATATGATTTTTTATGTTTTTATTTCATATAGAGAAGAAATGTATGTTGGTTTTCTTTACCTAGCAACATAACAAGCATAATTCAATGCAGTGGTGCAGCTTAATGTATACTAGAACAAACCAAATAAATAAATAGTGTCATTGTGGTGGTTAAGGAATTAGACATTTCTTCAAGGACTTTTTAAGAGTTTTCTTTACAAAGAAAATCATTATTCTCTAGGTTAATAGCAAATAATTTACTGAAAGAAAAGTATTAGCCAGCTAGTACTAATAGCACTACTACTAATACTTATTATCATTAGAAATAATAATAATAATAATAATAATAATAATAATAATAATAATAATAATAATAATAATAATAATAATAATAATAATATTAGTAATACTGATGCTTTTTCACTCTTTTTTTGTCATGCACAAATAAATAAATAACCTTGTTTTGACCCATGGGTGTTTGAGCATTTGGTTTTCCTTCACGTTCATATTTCTGTGTGCATTACTTTGATTTGTCTCCTTTGGTTTAAACATCACTGATCACACTATTTTAAGCTCTCTGGTTTTTAACCTAAATGGAGAATAAAGAACTTGGTCTGCAAGAAATCAAAATAACAGCTACTTTAGATCTTATAAATCTGATAAATCAGATCTTTCTGCAAATGTGCTGCACAGTATAGATGATTAAATCTAGCTTGCACATTCATATATCAAACATTATTAGACTAAAAAACTTGAGATGTCAATTCTTTAATTGGTAATAGATATTCTCCAAGAGCCGATAAATGTGTTCCTTTACCTAAAGTGGCAAGAATAAAGCTGTTTCTGGTCAGTACATTTCATTCTTCACAGTTACCCAAATACGGAACCTTTTGAAGTCCTCAAGTTTCGCTCCCACAAGCATATTTCTACGTAGCAATCACACAGGAAACACATTTTTTCTCTGATGAAGTGTCAAGATCAAGCTGCAGCAACTCCCAACCTAAACCTGTAAGAAAACATGCTTTGCACCTGTGAAGTATGTATAGGCCTTAAATTAACACTGGCTGCCTTTGGTAAGTTTACAATCTTTTTCTATAGTTTTTTGAATTATCCTTTTTGAGTTTCCTATTAATATTATCTACAAACATAAACACTGAGATCAAAATCTTGATTCTATTTTGCATGAAAAAAGGAGAATAAAACTGATGATCTAGGCTCACACCAATGCTGATCAGTCACACATGGTCCTCTTACATCAGTCTATCGCAGATTTCGTCACTTACCCAGGCTGGTGGGTCCCCCTTCTCCGTCTTCACAGTCAGTCATGTTGTTCTCCATCCCCTTTACTCAACAGGCTTAGAAAATGCTTGGCAGCTTAGAGTCAAAGGTGAGACGTTTGCGTCCCTCCAAAAAGCTCTTCCCTTGCTTTATCTAATTATTATTTTCAGTGCGGAATAAAAAGCTATGTTTTATGTGCTTCTTAACTTGCCTGGTTTCCTCTGTCTGTCATAGAGAGGAGTCCAGGGATACCGAGAGCTGCTGCAGGGGAGAGTGGATGCTGGTGCACGGTGTCACTCACATGCACGCTCTCAGCGTCTGCACGCTACTCACCTCCCAGCCAGTTTAAGCCTGGTGTCTACATTTGTGTATTCAGAAGGTTTTATCCCTCTATCCTCCCCCCTGTCCCTCTTTCTCTCCGTCTCATCATGAGAGATGGATGGAAAGGGATTGAGAGACGGAGGGGATACGCGTCAGACCTCGGAGCACAGCCTCCTAAGATTAAGCATCTATGATTTGCTTTCAGCCAGCAGACCATATTGCATTTCATCACTTTGTGTTCATCCCTCTCTTTTACTTTATGTCTCTATTATACTCTTCTTCATGGTCAGGGCCCTTTATCTGTAACTTACCTGGAGGCTACACTTTATAACTCAGTCAACCTATCTCCCACAGTTACCCCCTGCACTGGCTGAACTGTCTGGGAGAAGAGGCTGACTTTTGGACTCCTGGAGTGCATGGGAGACACTTTTCCATCGTTTCCCATTTCTAAGCAACTATAACTCTGTGAAAGTACATTTAGAGAGCAGTGATGGAAAAATTAATAATCTTATACAAAATGCATTCATTATATTTAGTTTATCAAAATACATTTGTTTTAATATATGTTTTTATTGGATAAAATTGGATCACTATTACAATGAAATGTTATATCCCTAAAATGAAATAATGCATTTCCTCATTAATCTCACTCGACTAATCTGCACCTCTTACCTTATAATAAAAATACAACTGGCCTTTAATAGGAAAAAAAAAGGATGAAAATTTTTTTTTTTCTTCTTTCATAATCTTTTGTTTGTTTTCTTGGTGTTATATAATCACAAACAGTGTGAGCATCTCGTGGTTAGATGGGTTTAAAAAGATATATATATTTTTTTCAGTCAGTAGAAGTTATCTTCTAGTGGATATCCTTATGAATTAAATGTCAGCTCTGTCATTATGAGGAACAATCCTCTGCAAATATATCTCTTAATATTGATTTTCACAGTACACAACAACTTTGATTAATGTATGTAGATTTTTCTGTCATGTTTGAAGGTTCATAAAGAATGTGTAATGTGAAATCATTTCTAAGTTATAAAGATTCAGGTACTGACAAGCTGGACTACAAGAAACAACAGAAAAATGTAACAAAAGAGCAAAAATCAGCACAAAATGTATTTCAGAGGTGGATGACAGCCAACTGTAAAATACATTGCAAGGAAATATTACAGATGAGCAGAGGAACCATGGCGAGTGTTACAGAGCAGAAGCAATAAAGAACTATCCCTAAAATTATAAATAGAACAAAGAGCTTGTACTGCAAAAAACTAAAATAAAATAAAAATTATCAACTACAGAATGCAGAGCTGTCAAAAGCAAACAAGAGACAAATCATAAAGTTGTGGGGAGTTTCTTAAGAGTATGATTAAACCATATTCCCAGCTTCAGATGGCTAATGTAGCACCAAATCTCTGTTGTTCAAAACTAGAGCACAAGAAGATAAAAGAGCCAGGAGCTCCTGAAAGAACGGAGATCTACAGCTTAGGTGATAATCTTTTGACAGGACAGCTTTTAGCTATGCACCCCATAATTTTGGCCCTTATGGAAAAATTCCAACAGTAATATATGTTTGACACAAAGCAATGATTTATAAGAAAGTAGTAAACTCTGCAATAAACTAAAAGTTTGACACAAGCTATAAAGGGAGCAGAGCAAATGTGGAAGAACCAATCATTTAATCTACCAGGAGTATAGATGATTTTCGTTTCAACTGTAAACTATTTAAAACATGAGTATTTTTTTCAAAATTTTAATATTCCTTTTTAAAATTTATTTGAGTCAATCGCAAATAAACAAACCCTAAAAAGGTCTGAGATTTTTTTTGAAAGAACCTATATCAGTTTTTTTTTTTAAGACTGACAAAAACATAAACGAACTAAACTCATCTAAGTACTTTTACTAAATAAAATTTTTATTTTAGTCAAACAATAATAATAACAATGTATATAGGACTCGTTCCTTATTTATGGCTCCTTCTTTCAGGGGCCTGCTCAGTACATCCAGGCTCTTCTACGCAGCAGGTGTCATAGTTGACATGTAGAGAAATATTTTTCTTCTGAGATCCAAGCAAAATAACATAAGGTGCAAAACAAGTATGCTCTGTTTGAAATAGTTGCAAAGGACATCAAGATGCAGGCTTGATGTTTTTAAAAACGTCAGGTCTCCCTACATTTCTATAAACTAACACAGTGTAAAAGGGCATTTTAAAATCCAGATTTTAGGTAGCTACAAAGTCAAATACTACATTCAGCCAACTCTATAACCTTATTGCGCTCAGGACTTTAAAAAATGACTTAAATCTAAGTTTACTGCATCCCTTTTTATTAATGTGAATTAAAAACCTGTCACCCATACTTAAAAAATTATTTAGAATTGCTAATCTTTGTCTTTATATGTAAGTATGACAATAAGTTCTAAAATTCATATGGGTTTTCAAACTTTTCTTTTTCTACACTGGATCTTTGTGGGGTTTTTAAGTTTAAATTTCCCAAGGTAACTTAAAATCCCACATTCATTTTTGCAAAGTATTAAAGGTATAGTGGAGGATTTTCGCAACAAAGACCCGCCCTCTCCACTTTAAAAAATAATGCACATGCACAACCCTGCACCCGCTCCCGAGAGGGAACGCCTATTAAACGTTTGCAAGAGCATGCACAAGCCCATTTCTCCTGGTGCAAGCTCTGTTTAAAAGTTGCTGTTTGCATCGCTCATATAGGAAGATTTGCAATTTTTCCACTATGTCCGACTCACCACTGGTAAGTGAAAATGGGGTGGAGCATGTAGGATGGCCTTACGTAAACATATCACCAGAATGATTTACAATTAGGAGGAGCATTTATTTTGAAGATCCACCCGGAAAAAAGAACATCCACTATAACTTTAAAGGAAAAGTCCGGCCATTTTCTGAATTCAAACTTCTGAAAGTAATTTGAATATGAAATTATTACATACTGTTCAATAAATGATAAGTGTTTTTAATTCAGAGTAATTTTCATTTGAATGTGCTTTACCGGAGACGTCCATGTTTGTCAAAGAACAATACTGCCACCTACAGGGTTGTGACATGACTGTGTGGTATCGGCTGTTGAGAAAGTCCCAATGCTGTATCTGTTATTTGTCATCTTGAAAACATTCTTCTTGGCTACATATCATGTGTTTTTTCTCTGGCCAGATGTTCGATGGCAAATCCTCCCTCTTCAAACTGGCAATCCAATGACGAATCCGTCCGTGGTTGATCATCAATCGGAACAGTTAAAAAACACATTTTTTTTTCACTTTTACCTAATATATTACAACATCGAACTGTCATTCACGTGGGCATTGTCAGTTTAACTATGGCTCTCGCAAATTAACTTGGTGAAGTCCCCTCGAAATCTTAAATAATTGTTGTTGATTGCAGATGTGTCTAGTAGTTCCCACTGATTTTGCTTCTAAAGCAGGGAGAATAGTGCTAGGCTTACAGCACCGTGACGTCACTGCTGGAAGATGTCAGGAGTAAAGTGTTACCATATTTGAACAAACATTTTTTTTTTTTTTTTTTTTTACGGATTAACGCTATATTAATTTAATCTTTGTGAACGTATTTGTTTTAGGTATAGATAATGATCCATTGATCATTCCTTGCTGACCAGACTTTTCTTTTGAGTAAAGAAACCTATACACAGGCAGAGAGTAATGTGTCCCTATGTAATATATTGGCTTTCCAATCCATAAAGATCAGTAAAATGTGGAGATGAAAGTAATTTAAGGGACAACAGTTTTCAGTCAGGAAAACTACTGCAATCAATAAAATAAATGAATTGATAAGTAAAACAAGTCCCAACAAGAAAAACTTCAAGTTTCAGGTGCTGAAATCCCCTCCGTATGTGTTGTCCGGCAATGCTGAGCTATAATTTAACCCTGACATTGAACATGTGGTACTGCGGATGCCAAAAACATCAAGCGTTCATGTTAATCTAACTCACCATACTCCTGCCCTGTCAGTGAGAGTGGGATGTTGGCTTCACTTTGATTGGCAGAAAGCCTGAGAGCCATCTTCATCTGGGCCAAGCGGCTTTAGCTCTTAAACCGCAGGCTCCTCCCTTCCTCTTTCGCCGCTGCTACAAATGTGGCCGTGACTACCAGAGGAGTGAAACTCAATCACCCTGCTTGTTGGTTTACAAAAGCAGGCAAGTGAATACAGATTTCACATTTTAATTCAAAAGGTAGTGAAGAAGAGAAAATGTTTACAAAGGCACATATGCGAACACACCTACTGACAGCCTTGAATGAACTTTCTGGTGGCCTAATCCAGCAGATTAAGGCCACAGAGGACCAGTTGAGCTCAGCTCTCAGGGCTTTCTATTCCAATGGTTGCTAAGCATCCAAATGACACCTGTTGTCAAACCAAGAAAATAAAAGATCCTGTGACTATTTCATAATAAAGATCGCTTAAGGATTTAATAATGTGGGCATGATACCTGTCTGTCTGTCAATCTATCTATTCTTTACATTACAGGACAAAACAAGCTATTGAATATTTATGAAATGGAAAGGGATGGATGGTTTTCAAAATGTGAAGAGGAGAAAAATATCTAAAAATTCGGATTGGCATTTATTTAGCTTAATTTATTATGGCCTTCATGGAAAAATGGCAAGAAAACAGCAGTAGTAATAAAACCAAGAAGGTCCATCAAAATTTGGCTTTGATCCATCTAGTAAATTGCAAACAGGTGAAATTTATGTTGAAGTAAACCTACGGCGAAACATCTTGGTGGAGATATAACTCAGAAGATTTTAAATTTGCACCTGAATAAAATATGGTTCTATA